CATAATGGCTATACCAACTTGAATTTCTCTCAGGCAGCTTTTTCTGATTCTTAGACACTTAAACTAGTCCTTGTCATATCATTAGTTCTGCTGATACTAAATGAAAGTAACACAATTTTAAACTCCCTGGAGGCAGTTTTCTTCCTATATTGAATGTCAGTCCGCAGGCCGACGCTCTATCCACTGAGCCAAACCGGTCAGGGCTACTGGATATATTTTTAAGTTTTTGAAGAATCTTATATTATTTTTCATAATGGCTATACCAACTTGCATTTCTCCCAACATTACACAGGGATTCCCTTTTCTCCACATCCTCACCAACAAGTGGCACTTTTTCAGGCAGCTTTTTCTGATTCTTAGACACTTAAACTAGTCCTTGTCATATCATTAGTTCTGCTGATACTAAATGAAAGTAACACAATTTTAAACTCCCTGGAGGCAGTTTTCTTCCTATATTGAATGGTCTTTACATCTAGCACTGTTATCAATATAATGAGTACAATATGGTGTTGTAACAATCAAATAAGGTAATGTTTATGAATGCAATTTTAAAGTATAAAGATTTGCAAAAGTACAGTTGCTCTTCCTATATTAGAGCTACTCTCATGGAAATTTAGATATCAGTTTGGGGTCTTTTAGGAATAGTGAGAGAAATAGCTAGTTTAAATATGGTCCAATGCATGTTACTTGGGTCTTTTAGGAATAGTGAAATAGCTAGTTTAAATATGGTCCAATGCATGTTACTCAGCTCTCTATCAATTTGTGTAATAAAGAATTGCTATCAGAATAAAAACATATTAATAAAGAAATTGGGACTAATGTTTCATAAAACCTATTGACCTATGCAGACAGTCTTCTGGATTATGAAAATATACATGCTTGATTGCTTTGGCTATTAAGAGAAACAAAGAGCAACCTAGGAGTCAAGTTATGTAGAAGCGTTCCAGTTCTAACACAAAGAAGCTTCATACCCACTCATGAGCCTTTTCCCCCTCTGTGGCTCTATTTCCTTGTCTGTAACCTGAGGGGTTCTGTTATTGGATTTTGAGTAAGCCCTGTATCTGTTTCTTGTCTGCTTATGTCCAAGGTCTTCACTAGATTTAAAAACAAGAATTTTCTTGTTTGAATGCATAATATATTGTTGCTCATCTATCCTGCATGTATTCTGACAAAGGAACAAAATAGTTTTCTGTGACTGAAACCCAAGTTTGACACCTGAGCAGTAAAATTATTCCCCTAATAACACCAATTTATGACAGACTGACAGTGCCTTTTGCTGTGATGTCTATGCACCTTGTAGATTCCTGAATCTGCATTTATGGTGAGAAATAGACATCTTACTTCCTTCCCATGCCCCTCTCTGCAGACAGATGAGGCATCCACTTGCCAGCTGCAGTTTCTCCCTTAAAATCCGTCAATGCCTCTTGCTTGAACTTTGATGTGTTTCCACAATCCAGGGAGCTGAGGATTTTGTGATATGGTAATGAATCCTTTTTGGGCTTTACTGGACTGGATTAAGGTACATAAGGATGCTTGAATTAAAAGGCAAATACATTTAACTGATAATTTCTGTTATAAAAAAAGAGATACAAGAACACTTTATTTTTAAAAATATAGGAGAATCTTAATTAGGTTTTATTACAATGCCCATGAAATTTTTATAGAAACTGAGATTTAAGTCCTACTTCCTTTTTTTTGGTGGGGGGAAGGGAGGGATGATATTCTTTTGAAATTATTTTGACGTAACAATTGCTGTATTTATATGATATTTACCTTGACAAAATTTGAAAACTGCTTCTAAGTTGTCCACCAAAAGTTTGACCTGCTTTCTCCAAAATTGAATGCATTTGTGTTTTTCCAACACTGAGTATTATTAATTTGTGCTCTAGCACTTTCTTGTGGAATCAAGCTGAAGCTTGATGTCTCTCGCTGAGATGACATTTTTGCTTGGCATTTCCCTCCTGTCATTCTCTTGCTTCTCTCCTCTTCAATAAATAATTTGAACAAGAATTTTTACCTCAGCTCTGTTTTTAGGGAACCTAACCTAAGACACTTGGTTTAAGGTGGCAAAGATTGAAACAAAGAAAAGAGACTGACTTAGGAACATTTTAGAGAGAGAGTCTACAGGGATTAATCTGCAATAGAAGAGAAGAAGAAGTCCAAACAGTTCCTAAATTTTATTATTGAACAAACTGCTGGGTAATGCACTATTTACTAATAGGAGATGTCTAAAAGGAGCAGGTTTGTAAGGTTGAGAGGGAAAAATTCTATTTCAGATAGATTTGAAATGTCTTTAAGTGGATACAAATGTCAGGTAGGCAATTGAATGTACAAATATTTTGCTCCAAATGGCAATCTAGTCTGAGGATCTATATTTAAGATTCAACCATGGTATTCAAATGATATTTGAAGGAATGTGACTGAATGAGGGTACTTCATGAGACTATAGAAGAGAAAGTTTCCCAGGGCTGTTCTTGGTATGACATTATTTAGAGATCGAAAGAATAAGAATATCTAGCAAATACATTCAGGAGTAGTCAGTAAGTGGCGAGGAAACCTTGAGAGGCTGTGTCACAGAAACCAAGAGGAAAAAGTATTTCAAGGAGGGTGCAGCCAACTGTTGAATGCAGCTGAGTAGTTCATGAAGATTAAATCAGACAACAGATCATAAAATATGGCAACAGGGGAAATATTGGTGACCTTGACAAGAGAAGAGTTTGACAAAAAATATTCTGAAGTGATGGAAATGAAGGTCAAGGAGGGACTGAGAGATGATGAAGCAAATACATAGATCTAGGCAACAATTATTACTGTGAACAGTAGTGAATGAGGTGATGACTGAAGTGGAACAAAGAGTCCAAGAGTATTTTTTAAAATATGTTTTTATTAATTTTAGAGAAAGGGGGATGGAGAGGGATAGTTAGAAGAAATATTGATGACAGAGAGACATCGATCTGCTGCCCTACACACCCCACCTTGGGGATCGAGCCTGAAACTCTGGCATGTGCCCTGACCAGGAATCAAACTGAGGACCTCTTGGTTCATGGGTCAATGCTCAACTACTAAGCAACACCAGTTCGGCAAGAGTATTTTTTTGATTGACACCATTAGAAGGGGAAATTTATTTTACAAAAGAGAGGGGACAATATCAAAAGAAAGTCCTTTAATAGTGATGGGACTTCATTCATGAGCAGAAGTCAGCTCTATCCTGAGGCAGAAGCACTTCAAATTTGCAGTAGGAGGGATGCTAACAAATGTGAGTGCCAATGAATAAAGTTTCATAGATGTTGTGGTGTGTAGCTGAATTAATTCTAGTTTGATTGTTTCTGTGTTCTTACTGAAATATGAAATGAAGGTCCCAGCTGAGATGAGGGTCAGAGGTAAGGTCAGTTGTTTAGAGATTAGATGAGAGAAAAGCAAGGATAAAATAATCATGTTAGAGACTAGGAAAATTTATTTACATTGGAGATGTAGTACTATATCCTTGCATTATTGAGTGCCCCTTTTGGTATGTATGCTCATAATTTAAAAAAATAATAATAACATCTCCAGTTGCTTCTTTTAAAAAATATATATTTTTATTGATTTCAGAGAGGAAGGAGAGAGAGAGAGAGAGATAGAAACATCAATGATGAGGGGAAATAATTGCTTAGCTTCCTTCAACACACCCTCTACTAGGGACTGAGCCTGAAACCCAGGCTTGTGCCCTGACCGGAATTGAACCATCACCTCCCAATTCATAGGTGTCACTCAACCACTGAGCCACACCGGCCAGACTATGCTCATAATTTTTAAATAAAACCAGTCATCAAGGTTATGAGTTTTTTCAGCCATATTTAGGTGTAAACATGGACTAGGAGAATGGCTGGGTTTAACTAGTATTAGGGTTTTGTCAAGGAAACACAAGGGAGTGGAAAAATTTTCAAGGGAGTGCTAAGGAAGATGGGCTATAAAATCTAAACTAGGCTATGAGGCAAATGAGAGGCAGGATGGAAAGAAACATATTGAGGTAAATTGATTTGAGGTTTCTGTGAGGTAGAATGAATGCTAGAGAATGGGTATTAGAATATATGAGCTTAAAAGATAAGAAGGGATAAGCAAAGACTGGGATGTTTGACAGCCGCATTCAGAGATATTAGTGACATTTGTGATAACAAAGTCAAAAGTAGAAATAGTTGGGTTATAGGAAATATTGGATGGAGGGAGTTGAGAAACTGGGGACATTGTATTGAATCATCTACCTGGGTATCAACTCAGGGAAAGGAGTAGAGCTATAGAGGACACTAAGGCGGGGCCTACAGTTATCAGTTAGACTGAGAGATGGGGAATTGACACAATGTGATACTTGTTTTATTTAATTGATTTCTATGAGTTCTTAGTTTTTTAAAGTATATTTTATTATAGCAATGACATTAACATAAAAATCAAAACAGAAGGCCAAATCTCCCATAGCCCCATCACTTCATCAGAGGGTGTTGGATTTTGACTGAACCCTGTATGTGTTTCTTGTCTGCTTAGTCTGGCCTGGCCAGGTATTCCATTTGCTTTGCTTACTCCCTCTTCATGGAAATGTGGCAGGGCTTGCTGTCACCATAAGTGTCTACCTCTTAACCAGGCTGCCTGGGAAGCAAGCCCTCAAAGGAACAGGCCTTCTCATTGTGCTATTTGACCTCCTACCACAATGCGCTGATCTCTCCCACAGTGCTAAAATTTGGGACAGCCACTATTAATCATGATTATAAAATAGGGCAGCAGGCCTTCATTTATCAAAACTTGTTTCACTGTGGATGCCCTAGTTAGATAGTTACTCATTATTTTCAGAGTTGATGGTTTGATCACACTCCTTGTTCCATCCAGATCTTCCTTCAGTCCCAGTTACATTGACAAGTTATTTGATCAGTCTGTCCTCTCCATTCCCAGTGACCAGGGAATCCTTATTCCAGGTGTGAGTGCGGCTGCTGCCAGGTTGTCTTGAACATCTGCTGATTGTTTTTGGACAGGGAATTATGGGGAGAGTGGAATGGACGCTTTCAAAGAGCTGGCTGCCCAGGAAGGTCTCTGCATCGCCCATTCAGACAAAATCTACAGCAATGCTGGGGAGAAGAGCTTCGACCGACTCCTGCGCAAGCTCCGAGAACGGCTCCCCAAGGCGAGAGTGGTGGTCTGCTTCTGCGAAGGCATGACGGTCCGGGGCCTCCTGAGCGCCATGCGGCGCCTGGGCGTGGTGGGCGAGTTCTCACTCATCGGAAGGTAAATCTCTCAATCTCTTCTCTCTTTCTCTGTCTCCCTTCTCATCCCCCTCCTCCTCCTCCACCTCCTTCGTCTTCTCACTGAGAGTGGGGCTATTGTCATTTTCCTGATAGAAAAGAGTAGCCCAGTAGATGACAAGATGATAAGGCTATTTCAGAAAAGGATGGAAAGTTGTTGCCAGACTGTTTTATCCCAGAGAATTATTCTTCCCATTTGCTTTCCACACCTTTCATCTCACCCCCAACACACACACACACACACACACACACACACACACACACACACACACACGTCTTCATACTTTATAAGCACAGAAATCTTAACAGGTACCAGTGGATGGGGGTCAGCAGTATTTATAGAAATATATATTACGATTTAAAATTTAAAGGGTTGGCTAAGTGAAAATGAAAATGTGTAGCTGAACTTTGGAACTTGATAATATCATTTCTTACACTTATGGGATAGCGCACAGCAATGCTTTCAGTATGCGATTTCTGGAATTGCGGGTGATGTGTTCCAAGATCTCTGCTCTTCTTTCTAGACCATATGTACTTGTGTGTGAATCACTTCCATATCACTGTAGTTTTCATAGAGTTTTTAACCTAACAGATATCTTGTTAAATTTTCCATCTTCTAATGGTAAAATTTCCTAAGGAGCCTACCTAGTTTACTTAAATGAAAGCCTTACTGATTTTCTACTCTGTCACAGTTATGTTCCAGATCTCCTTTTCTCCTCTCCTGGCTAGAGTACAATCATATCTCCCCAGCTGAAATACTCAACCACCGACCCTCTTATCTAGGAAATTGGTGGTAGTGGTGTGGACATCCCCACTGGACCTTTCGTCTCCATTCCTGCACTTACGGTAATGATGAAAAAAGTAGTGAGACTAATCTCACCATCACCTGGAACTAGAGGCACAGGGCACTTCAAAGACTTTTTTTTAGAAGATGGTAGGACAGAAACCCAACTAAATGAATAAAGTAACAAAAAGTACTCTTTAGGCATGCGGAAGTATGGAGTCAAGGTCAAAATATAAACCAAGATTAAGAAAATTATTGAATTTGGGTAAAATTGTTACACTGCCATGAAGTGTTATTTTGGCAGCTTCAACATGATGCAGTGTGTGAAGCCATTTAAGGAGCATGAAAGAAGGAACATTATTTCCTTAATGACTGGAAAGGACTTGAGCAGCATGGTTGAAGTGTTATGAAAAATAAGGTTCTTATATATATACCAGGACAGATGGCCCGCAGATAGTCAGCCTTTTAAATTGTTTTTATAAAATGACTGCTTTTATAAAGGTGCTTGTTTTTTTTTAAAATCTCATGTTTACCATTTTCAAAAGAACAATAGTCTGTTTTGCAGTATTCATTCTCTTTAATATCCCTGAAGAGGCTATCTACCTGGGTTCTGGAGATCTTGAACAGATGTAGCAAATACGTGAGCTTTTCGGGTAGACAGACTGCTTAATTGTGAAATACAATTATACAAAATGCTGCAGTGAGTAATTGGAGTATAAAGAACTCATTTCACCATTATTATTTAAAAGCTGGTCAATGATGGTAATGTAGTTAACCTCTCCTGCTAACAATGCAGCTGAGCTCATGCAAGTATTTCTGAGATTCTCACGTGTGCTTGCTCATAAATAAGTCAGCTACATGTGATATCTACTTCTTTCACTCCTCTTTTTGTTTTCTGTCCCACCCCTGCTGGGTTGTACTGACACATCCTGGGGAAGCACCAACACAATGAATGTCTGAGTTTCTGAGGACACTGCTCCCTGCACCAGTGGTTATGGCCTATGATGCATGGAGCCTTTGAGATACCAAAGTTATGCTACACTTGGCGCTTCTCTGCCTTTCTGGGCTACATTCCATGAGGTCTCTCAGTGTGGTATTGGCTTTTACTCTCATATCCAAGAGGATTTGGGGGAAAACAGCTTTTACTTCATTCTTTGTTCACAGCTCTATTTCTTCCCTGGGAGAGATATGAGTCCATAGGGAGCTGAGCAGGGGACAAAGCCAAGTGGTTAACACTACACCATGCCTAGAAGTAGCCTTCCCTTCAGATGCTTGATTCTCCACTTCTTGTGAAGATGAATTTTACACTAACTGCTCCTCTGTCCCTCATTCCAGTGGACAGTTGGTGGGCGTGGTTACCTCATTTCAGCAGACATGTCCAGAGCATTCTGGTTTAACACCAAGTTGCAATTTCGAGTTACATTTGTAATGCTGTCCAAATATATCTCCCTCCTATTTAGAGGGGTTTTCGTTTACCAAATGATAAACTCCTTTGAGGCCAGGAGCCATTGTTTAGTTTCTTTGACAATACAATGCATAATTTTGGCTGCTTCCAGATTCACAAGAATGTATTGTGTAGATGGTGATGAACCTTTTTTCAAAGAGGTAAAGGTAAGTAAATCATGATGAAGATTATAAGAGACATTTAATTTAAAAAATTAGAACTTTCTGAATGAAGATTTATATTTTCTTGTCTCCATGACGCTTCTTCCCTCTCACATTTCACATCCACCATAGAAGGAAATGTTGTTGATGTTAACATCAAAACATATCCAGACTTCAGCAACTTATTGCCACTCTTGTTGCTATCATCCTGATCCAAGCACCATCATCTCTCATGTGGGTTATTGAAATAATCTCCTAAGTGATCCTTGTTTCTCCCCACCATCTATTTTTAAGGCAAAGTGATCTTTTAAAAATTTAAGTCAGTTAATGTTAATCGTTACCTTACACACTCACTACCATTACATAGCTTCCCATTTTTATCATAACAAAGTCCCACATTCTGTCATTGGGACTGAGTTCTTTATAATAGAATAATAAACTATAACTACAGAAATATATTTTTAAGTAGGAATTTCTCAGATATAACAAAAGCATTCTATATGTAATGAATGTAGGATATTTGAAAAATAAAGCAAAACTCAATAAAACATGGGCTAAGGGTTCTTGCTCTTTCTTCAAAGTGATCTTGTGAAGTTACATTTTGTCTCTAAGTCTATTTATTTTTTACATGTTTTAGTGATTTTTAGAGAGAGAAGAAGGGAGAAGGAGAGAGAGATAGAAACATCAATGAAAGTGAAACATCTATCAGCTGCCTCCTGCATGCCTTCTACTGGGATTGAGCCTGCAACTCAGGCATGTGCCCTGATAGGGAATTGGACCAGCAACCTCTTGGTACATGGGGCAATGCTTAACCAACTGAGCCACAGGGGCCAAGCAAGTCTATTTAGTTTTTACAGAAATTAATGACATGGCTCCAGATTATCTTTAAGTACTTTTCCAGTACTAGAATTTATAATATATAAAGACTATATGACCAAACTATGATCAATGAGAATGTAACTACAGATTGATTTTTTGGTAAAATTATTTATGAATTTACATTTCTTGTCAGTCACCTTGTTAAAACCAGAAAAACTCACTGAATACAGCACTAGTGTGTTAATCTGAGGTCGCAGAATGTAGCCAGCAGACTCATAGGAAATCAAACCTTTGATTTTGGACAAATTGGCATGGTATTGTCATCAAGTAAGTTAACTAACTGCAGTCAAGTTAATAATGCAAAAGAACATTCCTTCTTAGCTCTATGAAATTTCCTCTTTTGTGATACTTCTTAAAATTG